TGCCACGGAGTACAAGATCCCTGGGATCGTACTCCATAGTGGGCTCCTCAGGGGGAAAAGTGGCCAGAGTGACTTGCAACCTTCCCTGACGGCTTCCCCATTGACTTTGCTTGTGGGAAGCTGGCAGGGAAGGTCACAAATGGTGATCACATGACCGAGGCTCGCTGCAACATTGTACTCGCAAGCTGGCCACCCAAGTGCCTGGATTGCAATCATGTGACCGCAGGGGTGCTGTGATGGGTGGAACTTCAAGGACCGATTGTAAGTCCATTTTTTCAGCGCTGCCGTAACTCTGAACAGTCGCTGAATGAATGGACGTAAGACAAGGACTACCAGTAACTGAAAGTACTCTGTTCACCAATCATATTTTATGGAATTTGTCTTTGTGAAATGTTATCTATTTTGCTATTCTACAGTACATATATTTTTTTGCATGTTTGCCATGACCTAGATCTTTATCTGAAGGGGTGGACTTTGCACATCCTTCTTCAAAACCAAGATTTGGTCCCCATCTATACCACCACTCAGTGGATTTTGTACATCTTTTCTGCAGTATCTTGACAAAGCCAATCCCTCAGAAAATTATTCCAACCACAACACAGCTTTCAGAAATGTGGAAAACAAAAAGTAAGCACTGAGTTAGATGCAAAAATCTAGGGTTTCAGTAAGCAGGCATTTGAATATTTGCAGGATAGTGTGTCAGTATATATTTTAAATATCATCCATAATTGCTTATACATTCCTGTGGTTGATATTTGGAATGCTTTATGTTTACACAAATATATGTTATAAATTTATGAAATAAAAACGTTTAAAATTGTCAATGATCAGCATGGACATGCAGCATATTTTGCTATGGTAAACAATAAATAAGGTGCCATTTCTGCATGAAGCCATTGGCACTATTTGTGCACTTAACATTTTGGACAGTATTTAGGTATACACAAACAATCAAAACAGATGAGTTTGGCTGTTAACCCTGGTATTTTTTAATGTGACATAACTAATTCTTGTAGCTTCAGGAAAGTCTTCTGTATAGTTCCAGTGCAGTAACATAAAAAGCTTTGCATCACTTTTGATCGCACTGTCATGGCTACCACCTTGACTGTACGTTGCAGACATCCCTGCTTGGAGATTAAGTGCAACATAGACTAGAAACTGAAGCTGCATACACAGCTTGAGATAAGAGAACACATGGTCATTTGAGGCAGGAACCTTGTTGAAATGAAATACTGTAGTCTGATCCCAGCATGTATCTGGATGGAAAATTCCCAGAGAAACATATGCAGATTGCCTAAATTTCATAATCTAAGATGTAATTTTCAATTACATATATTCTGAAAAGTGCTAGGTTTAATTTGAAACTTTCATAACAACTAGAAGAGCATTACACAATCAAGTCTGCTATGGTATGTCTTCTTACAATTTTTAAAACTGAATAAATACAGATTGTAGCTGCAATGTTCTGGCAGCATTTTTCTCACATCTCACCCTGATTTCTTTTGCTTAATGTCCAGTCTAGTGAAGAGTGCTGAAGAACAAAACAGTGGCTTATTATTTTGCACAACATGGATTACCATAATACAGTATAAGTACTGTCCATGGCTGATTTTGGATGTACATTTGCCAAACCAAGAGATGTTTTTCCTTCAGCATTGTTGTGTTGTTTTGTCATTTTTAAAATTTTATTTTATTCTGTATTTTTTAAAAATGATGAGACTTATATAAAGAGAAATACAAACATTTTAAACATTCAAATTCAATATCTCTATCCAGAACACAATTTCTACAGATGAAGGTAATCTTAGGAAAAATACTATTAATATAGCCAATAAACAGTAATCATATTTGAGTAAATGTATATATAATTTTAGGGTTCATCAATATACTTTGCTATTATAGCTGGAGTGTTACATGCAGTGTTGAGACTGCATCTTTAAAAGAATAAAACTAGGAAAGTGCAGAAAAAGGCAATCAAAAGGTTAAGGTATTGGTGTAGCTCCCCTATGAAGAAAAACCTCACAAATTGGGGCATTTAAAATTTGGAACATGAGGAGGCTAAAGGGAGACATGATACAGTATATAAAATGATGGATAAAAAGATAGCAGAGACATGTTTTTCTTCCCCTCTCACACTGTTAGAATTTGAGGTGAACCATTGAAAATAAATGCAGGAAAATCCAGGACCACAGAAGAAAATAGCCTTCATACAGTGCTTAGTTAAACTACAGAATTTGTTTCCAGATGTTGGGGTAACAATGTGCAATTTGAATGTTGTTGTTTTTTTAAAAGGCTGGACAAAGGAATGGAGTAAAAGACTATCAATAGCTATTAATTCTGGTGGTTATTCATTGCTTCCTGAATCATGGGCAACATGTCTTAAATGCTGATTGCTGAGAAGTGATATCAGAAGGGGGACTGTCTCCATCCAGTCCAGAGTTTTCCCAATTTATTCCTGTAAGCTGCCCGCAGTCACTGTGAGTGAGTTGGGCAGCCATATATATTGCTTGCTTGCTTAATTAATTAATTAATTAAATGCATCTGGATTGTCAATGTATGACACAGAAAGCTGAATTAGATAGGCCTATCCAACAGGGCTCTTCTTATGTTCTTATTAAAACTATTTAAGAGAGAGGTTCCAATTAGTTCTTTGTACACATACAATGTTGGAATTTTAATTTAATTTCAGCAGGATGAAAGCAGCTTAGGAAGAGGACTTTTTTTGTTGTTGTTCTCCTGCAAGAACGTTCCATGACATGTATTGTAATGCCGCTAGATTTAGCTGGAGAAATTAGCTCACAAAAACAAGAAAAAGGAGGTGAAGTAAAGAGAAATTTATGCTCCAATCCCTGTGTGTGTTAATACCTTCTGGAGGTAGTCGGCTTGACAGATCTGCTTTCTGCCTCTCCCTTTGCTTTCCCCTTGTGACTATGACTCATTCTTAAGCATCTAGAGAACCCATTTCCTCTTTGGTGCAAGATGGATTAGTTTTAACCTATTTGGATCGTGCATCGGTTTTCAGTGTGAAAGTGCATGTCTTTGTGTAGTTTCTTGTCTGATGTTAGCAGGGAATTCATGTGTGTGACTACAAGCAAAGGTTAATGAGGAAGTACCAGAGGTCACAATAAATTACTCAAAAAGGAAGAATTAGTTGTCACTTCACACTGCACTATACTCTAGTCTACCTGTTTACAAAACTCACCATCATGATACTGAAAGGTCTCTATGACTCTAAAGTGACCTCAGCCAATTATCCCCCAGATATAGGAAATAGGCAGAAATAAGAAATATGGAGATGAAATATTAGATGGCAAGGCAATATTTTCTCCCATTAAATATGCACTTTATGCACACACAACCACTTCAAATCTCACATTTCAAATACAAATCATGACTAGGCTCCTATACTATATAAAATGGGGGATTTTTCTCATCTCTTCTTCCACTGTCTCTGAAACCCACTATAAGATGTGCTAGAGGGAGTGTTTTGACTGATACTAAACCTTGTTTTCTTTCCTAAGCTATGCAACTTTGATCAGTAATGATTATTCATATCTCCAAAGCACACTAGTAGCCTAACTGATGCACTTATAGTGTAAGGGGTGAGGAAGCACATATACTCTCATCCAGTTGATGAAATACAACTGTACTCTCCTTGATCCTCTGTGTCACCCCTACACATTGTGCATCACAGATGCCCATGCAACTAGCAGGCTTTTAACATGGCTGCACTTGCAGGCAGGTGTTCACTCACCACCAGACTTCCAGTAATAAAGACCATACCCTGATGCTGTAGGCACTTCCTCTATAAGTTTTTGTTTGGCAGATTATTGGTGAAATTGAGTATATTCAAATAAGAGGGAAAAACCTGGAAATTACCGATATCCAAATAAACCTTTGCTCTTACTTGGCTTCTTTACCAACATAAAGCAGATATCCAAGGAGAATCCTCTGAGATGAAATCATTTTTCTGAAGCAAGGAATTATCTTTGAGTCAAACCAATTAAATAGCTTGTTTGCATAAACCTCAACTCTAGTCCCAGGTTGGCTTAATTATTTCAAAAGAGTCTGAGCTGATCTTGGCAGGTTCTGTATTTCTGAAGTATATTTCTGCTGGATATTTTCTAATAAAACAGATTAAACAATGACAATAATTTCCAACTAAAAGCATAGTTGTCTCCTACATTTGCTATTAAGTACAACAAAACAAGTTCCACTTGCACAATATAGTATATGTCTCAAGTAATTAACAAAGAACAGAATGTACCTTGCAAGTAAGAACACAAATACAGAAGTATGAGAATGTGAATAGAAATGGTTTCATTATTTTACATGCAAATACAAATTAAAAACCTCTATAAAATCTATTTGCATATGGGTTCTGAAGACTGTACTGGTTAAGATGCAGGATGCATCCTGATAGACTAGTCAATCCCCAAATATGTCGTCCCATCATTAGTCTGAATTTATTACCCATGGCTATTGGATTTATTTATCAATCTTGTTACTTTTATTAACTTTTTCCAGCAGGCAGCTTGCAGAAATATGCTTTTTTCACTCTATCATTATCAATTATTTGTTATGCGTTGCCATCCAAGCTTCCTTATTTCTTTATAAACAACTTCAGTTGAATTTAGTAGACTTTAATGCCCAAGTTATTTTGGGAATAGGGAAGAACTCAAGACCTATTGTTAAGATAGATGCAATTCCATAGAAATAAGTATACAAGAAGCCTAAATATTGAGCTGGGAACCAAGTTTTAATTCATAGGCTTGCACAGCAAACTGAGATTATATCAAAGTAACAGCACATGTGAGGTAATGTCATAATACAAATTCTGTCCTTACATATAAGCATTCCAACTTCTGATGCAATGTGGTAATTGTAATCACATATATTTTATTATTTGACCTCTTTGGACGCCAATGTTGTGATTTCAGGAATAATCCTGAAATATCAGGAGTTCCTCTGGGGAGAAAAAAAAAAACCCTGTATCTTACCACTTTTTCCTTATAAACAATGTACTTCAGCCACTTGAAATCCTGCCACTTGAATCCTGCCAGTACAAACAGGGAATCCTTCTCATACTGCTCTGGTTTCTGGATAGCCCCTTCTGGATATGTTATCCGCATTGTTGTCTTGCCACCAACATCTTTTTCAAAGCCTTTCACTGGAGCAGAATTCAGCCTTCAGGGAGATGAGAGAAAATTTATGAGCTGCATTTATACTAGGGTTCACATTTTTGTGTAGCAAAAATAAATGTCAGGAACTCCACTACAGTAAAAGTTGCAAAGGCATTACACTCACATATTAGGCTCCTTACTGCCAGTAAAACAGGCAGAACTAGCTGAATCTGCCATTAGTTTACTCCAAGGATGATCTATCCTTTGGAGGCAATGTGTATGACTACAGGCTCTGTATTGAAAATATTAACACTGGCAAAGTAAATTATGTTATTTTCTGATTCTTCAGCTAAACCAAGGAAGAAGCAACAATAGCATTCCCCAACTTGACACCTCCCATAATTCCCAGCTACTACTACCACCAAACCTGAGAAAACTACTAATTTAAAATACCAGCCCCACCATTTTCAATTAAGAACACAAAGGAAGTCCTAAAGTCCATTCTCATTCCATCATACTATCTTTGTCTCTCTTTGTTACAACACAGAAGCTGCTTCTAAAAAGTATTTTTTCTATACTAAGTCTGCAGTGTTGAAATTTAATCAAAATTTTTCATAACGCCATGTGTTAATTGGAGGTACAGCATTTTTCACCTAAAACACAGCTAGGAACCCCAAACTGTACAAGCCACACAAAGTTCTTAGTTATTCTCTTTGTTGTACTCATTGCCACAAAGTAGGTACAATAATATTATCTTAAATGGGTCTGGCCATGGCCAATATGACACTGGCTTCCTCTGCATTCTGGTTATTGTCCTGCATTTTTAATCATCCTCAATGTTCAGGTAAACATAGTAGCAGATGAGGATCTATAATGGGAGATAAAGTACTTCAAATTTATTCTTTCAACAATACATTCCTTGTCATTAGAACAGGACTTCCTCAGAATCATGGTTATGTCACCTGAAACATTCCCCAGAGGATTCAGAAATCTGATTCATTGAGATTTAAGTCTGTTATAACAGAGACAATTTTAAAGCTCTGTCAAGTAAAGGTGGAAAGAGCTTCGAACCGAAGCTATTTCAGACAGATATCAGAAATTATAGCAGTACTACCAAAAAAAATAATAATAATCTTAGCCATCAAACCCTGGTTTAATTAGAAAATGTGATCAGAGTATGTGCTACAGAATGGATGATAATTACAGCTGAAATGATATATTTGGGCAGTTCTATAATCATCATGTCAGCCATGATGTTCTGAGCATAATAATTTAAAGTGTCTTCTATGTGAATTCTGAAATTCTCAGGACAAGGATCCTGGAGTTTTCTAAGCCACACCTGAGACCATCTTGACTAGTTCTTACAGGGAGACAAACAGGTTGCCAAATGGTAATATACCAGCTGAGTGTTGGCTCTGTTTTGAGTCAGCACCAAGAACAAACACTTAAATATAGTACTTAAACAAACAACTTGTATGAACTCAATTCTCTTTATGCATTTGATGCAGAATATTTAATAAATTATGCAAGGCAAAGATGCTGAGAATGAGTTTATCAATCCGATAGATTATTGGTTTCTTACAGTGAAACAACTGCAATCAAGCTACAATCAAGTGGTATTATTTCTATTAACAGAGACTACAAAGATTCAACTTATAATGATTCATATTCCGTAAGTCAACAGTGATTTCCTTTTCATTCTAGGCTTTGTAACAGTCAAATGTAATCATGGAACAGTTTTTCCTAAAATAATGAATTACCAGGCTGTCTACTTGACTGCACCTTTCTCTCTCCAAGAAAACAGGAAGAGCTCTTGGCTCTATTCCGTAGAATGGTACAAGAAATATACTGATTTGTATGGAATCAGTGGGTGTTGTTCCAGTGCTGCTGGAAGTTTGGAAGTTTACAATTAAGCCTCTCTAAATAATCTCCTGCCTAGAGGCCTATGTCACTGTGATTTTGAAAGCTAGTGAAGACTTTGCTCTTTGTTCCAGCTATCATCCAATTTCTTTGTTAAACTTGAATTGACTGTTACATTACCACATAGACTATAAATGATATTACCACCAACTATTCAACCCACACAATCTGGATTTCTAAAAGGTCATCAAGGATCTGATAATATTAGATTGTTAAGTGAAAATATATTCTATAAATGGAACTCTGGAATGTAACCCCTGCAAATTACGAGGTTCACCTGTACCATTACTGCCCTGTATTAAAACAAACAAACCATAGGTTCATGTACAAAAACAATAAACACAAGATCACATCAAGTGTAAAATGTCATGACATAAGGTCTGATTCGTGATGTTTGCTCCATCTAGCCTTCTTGCCAAGGATCCCATTTTGAAATAATTTTGTAAAACAGTTTCTTTCATTTGAGTACCTTAGAAAAGCCTTGAAGCTTTTTCTTTTATTACCTTCTAAGCTGTTTCTAATCCTCAGCAGGGGTTATGCAGTAAACAAATTTGGTGCAGAAATTGCAGGATGGCCTGGCTCTAACCCTCCAATCATTCCTTCTGTTCAGAGCAAAGTGGAAAGATAGGATTGTTGCTTCCCCAAACCCTTGTTTCCTTATGAACTGCACGTACCCCTGCAGCAACTGCTCCTTAGAATTAACAACTACATGTATAATGCAATATCTTCAGTAGTGTATTAACTATCAATTAAGCCTAATTTTAAGCAAAATAGATTAATACATCCTGGTTGGGAATTTGGGGAGCTTGAAATCGATCACATCTGGCAGGCACTAGACTATGAAGCTGGGCTAATATAAGAATTGTGTAACTGAAATTATTTCAATGAAGATAAACTAGTGGTTTCTAATCAGAGCATCATTTCAAGTGCCGAAGAAGGAACCAAGTATTCAAAAATTTTGAATAAGGGATGGCTATTTTTTTATTTCATTTGTTCTGCTATTTATAATAATATGAATGACAGCTGCACATTGATTTTGTTATATAGGAAAATAGCATACAATATTTCCTCCTCTCCCCTGCCCAAACAACTCACCTGATAACAATATCATAGTCATCAATTTTCAACCCTAGTGACTTGTTTGCTAGAATGCCACCATTTCCCACAATAACACATCGTCGGCAACTAAGACTGAAAAGGAAACAGAAGAGAAGTTGGTTAAACAGCAAAATGCATGAGCACAGAAATATTTCTGGTCCAGATCTGAGCCAGTCTTTCCTAAAAGAATCAGAAAGTAGTACTCAGTTAATTTACAATTAAGAGAATGACACTTGATAGTAATATAGTAAGCTAGCAACATAAGTTGCTGAAGGAGGAATTGTTCTCATCATATCTTAAGCTTACTGGCTCAAAATAAAATCTTTGCTAACAAAATGCTTCATTTTATAGTGAAATAACAACCACAATTGTTCCTACTACCTATCCAACAATAAAACCAGCAATTTCCTTTTTCCTTAGGAAATCAGTAACTGCTTAATCAAATGCTATTTAATCATGCAGCAGAGGGAATTATATCGCAACTCTCCCTAACATGCTAGGACAGGAACCAATTACACACAAAAGTTAAATATGTTCACGGTTCTTATGTTGAAAATGACAGTTGGAAGAAACAATATGTTTAAGATAAGAAACAATCCCATTGTACTTCCACAAAACTTAGAAAAAGCTGCAGCTGTCTGGCATTTTTAGAAGAATTCTGAAAAAGGGACTCCAGCCCTATGACCCTCCCTCCAAGCAGATAGTAGAGCCCCATGAGGCACATTCTGAGAATACTGTGTTGTAGGAAGTCCAAAGAATCTCAGGGTACTCTTAAATCAGATGACTGATTTAAGATTATTTGAAAATTGTAGAGTAAGAGTGGGCAACCTGCAACCCAAGGAACCAATGTGGCCCTAGAGTCTACTTTTTGTGATCTTCTGAATTCCCTCAATGATTGCCAAAATTATCAACACACTAAAGTAGAAAACATATGAAATGCAGTGTAAGCCTTAAAATAGATATATCCATTTAAACAAGCAATAACAATCTCCTAAAACAACCTCCCAAACTCAGTTCTACCTACTTTGTGGTTGTTAGCCCCCACCCAAATGTTAAGTGCAACCATTTAGTCATCAAAAGGTTGTCTATCTCTACTAGCAAGATGGATGTTTTAGATTCTCCCACACCCCCCATCCTCCTCAGCTTGATTTCTTCACTTGCACTGATGTTAATCTTTTCCAAGGCCTTCATGTCATCAGCATAACATAGGTTATTGGTATTTCCTCCTCCAGTGTTAAAACCATGCTCATATTCTTCCAACCCAGCTTCCTTCAATATATATTCCATACATAGGTTGAATAAATAAAGGGACAGTTTACAGCCTTGTCTTACTCCTTTGCCAATGAGTGCATTTCCCCATATTCCATCGAGACTGTGGCTTCCTGACCTGTATATAGATTTTGCATGAGGACAATGAGATGTTCTGGGATTCCTATTTTTCTTTTTCTAAAATGTTTTTATTGAAAGTTTTAAAAATAATAAAACATAATACAAAGTACATTCAGAAGAGAGAGAAAATGAAAAGAAAAAGAATAGAAAGTGCAAGGAAAGAAAAAAGGAAAGAGAAATAATTAAAGAAGTGACTTCTGATCTTCATCACAACAAGTATAGGCAAATTTAAGATTTCTTCCCCCTTTATAAGATTGCATGCATATATCTCTTCTTCCCGTGGCCCATCCCTTATCTATTTGCAAATCTATAATTCATTAACATTTCAGTCCAGTTATCAGCAAAAAGTCCGTAAAGGGGTTCCAGAATTATATCAAATTATATCTTGCTTTAACCCTAGTCAAACATATTGGCTTTAAATTTTTTGCTTTTGCTTCTAACGATCATAGTCTTTGACCCATTCAAATGCTGTCAAAGGTTTTGATCTTCTTTTCTTTCTCCCATCTCTAAAGTTGCTTCAAGGCTTTAGCAACCCTCTTTTGTAAATCCATCAAGAAGTTATTGTCCAAGTCATTATCATGGCTTGCCATTTGTATTTCCACTTTAATTGCTGTCTCTATCTTGTAATCCACAATTTCTTTATTTTCTAGTAAATGTGCATAAGTGTGTTTCACCTCTTCATCCTGTAGGTCTTTCAAATCATTTTCTTTGACAACTTTCTTTTCTTCTTTTGTAAATAATGCATTCATATAAGTAAATATTATTTCTTCATTGTAGCTGCAAGTCTCTGTTCTCATTCTGCAAAAGTGTCTTGAAATTACTCAAATCTGACAGCATTATCTGTCATTTCACACAATCCAATGCTTACTCTCCGATTCAAAAACAAGAGGCAGACTTTTTTCTTTTCCTGCCTGGAGTCTTTAGTCCCCTTTAGTGTCCAATTTCGGAAATCACAAAGGCTCGAATCTCTGTCGTTAGTTTGATAAACTAAACAAAATGATATTTCCATAAAGTTATTATTTATTAATTTAATTTCCCCCCAAATCTTTTAGCAAAAGTCCTAAGGTTCCAAGGTTTTCTGGCCCCTTAGTCTGTTTATTAACTTTCTTAAATTAAATTCTTATTTAGCTTTTTGCCATTTGTTTCTATTTCTTAGTTCTTAAGCTTATAGTTAATTTTTCTTTTGTTCAAGAATGAAGTTAACTTTAAAAGGCTCCACCGTAACTGAGAGCATGATGATTCCCTTCATCTCCCGGTGCTCAAACCCATGGGAAACCACTGTCCTGCAGTCTCCTCATGGCATATGCCCCCAGTGTTCTTTGCTCATTTCTCCCAGGAATACCCCACCATCATGATGAGACAGCACAGCAGGACTTTGCAGGGAGGGGTTTAAAATATATATGTGACTAGATTCTCTCATCCAAATTTCTAATTTATATGAAATGATAATATTTGGAAGACATTATAATATAGAAATTAATACTGTCAGAGTAGGTCTGAAGAGATCCGGATTCAAGTCCTTCCACATCCATAAAACCAAATGACCCAAATACATTAATCTTTCCTTAGTGTAACCAATTATGGTTAACCCTAACATAGGGTTATTATGAGGAGAAAAAAGGGGAAGGCTACTCCACCTTGAGCTTCTTGAAAACTGGGGAAGACATATAGTTAATAAAAGAAAAACTATGAAAGAATCAGTGGTTCTAGCAAAAATGGAAACATTGGAATATTAATTCACATGATTTGGGCTTGTCCTATTATTTTGGATGAAATTTACAGGATTGTCAAAGTGACTTTCAAGTGATTGTAGGTTGTCAAGGATACATATGTTTTTCTTGGCTACATTCTCAGGAACTAAAGACATCATGGATGGAGCTGGAACCAAAATAATTATTATACATTTCTGTAAAGAATAATCTACATTTGATCTCCAGCAATGAATTGTTAATATATGCTGTTTGTTATTTGAATTATTTTTTTTACATGTCTGGCTAATTTTTATATCAGTATCAATCTCTCTCAGCACACACATATACCTACTTTGTTTAATAAAGCATACATAAAATGAGAAAGGAGAAATTGAAATACTTTAGAATAATATAAATTAAACAATCCATAGGCCACATATACTTTCAGCACACCAAGGTTATACTATCAAAATTTGGCAGCAAAATGTTTGAATTCTGGTGATGATTTTTTTACTTCTAATCCCAATTCTTCCACAACCCCTTGAGAAATGGTCTGAAATTTCCCAAAATGGTGATTTCAGACTGTTTCCTGGGGGTTGGGAAGGATTGTAAGTTAAGGGTTTCCTTTCTTGGTGGCCTCCTACTCCCATTCCTGTTCTTAAACCTCCCTACAAAATAACTTGCCTTCTGCAACTCTCCTGAAGGTCAGAAGGCTGGATTGCAGCCCCTGATCTCTCAAATACTGTCTGTATCTGCCATAAATATAAAGATGTGTCGAAAAACTGTGTAATTAGTCTTAAAGGAGCATTACCATGGAGCAAAAAGTACAAAACAATGGTAGGCTGCCATTAACCAAGATATAACTACATAAAAGGTCACATCAGAAATAAAATCATTAGAAGTATTCATGGGCAGCCAAGATACTGTCTGAATTTTGCCTGCTGTACTTTACTAAATCTCAATATGTACTCTAATTTATTCTTTATTGATTACATCATTTATTTATTTGTTTGTTTCATCAATTTGTATGCTGTCTCATCAATGACTCTAGGCCACTTACATCCATAAAAATAAGAAGGCATAGAATTAAAATGCATAAAAAAAAACTTAATCACCACCCTCCCTAACATTGCCACCAATGAAATGGCACCCCCTTCTGCAAAGGCTCTTTGAAAAGCACTGCCTTAATGGTTTTCTTGAATGACAACAGAGAGGGAGCTCTCCTAACTCAGGAGACAGTCTGTTCCAGAGTGAGCCTACCATAAGGCTGCAATCTGCTTCTAGCCTCCCACCCCCTTAACATGATTTAACTCATCCCTATAGTCAGTCAAAACCTTTCTTCAATTTTAGGATGAGGAAGTGGGTTTACTTCAATCCCATAACTGGAAAAAGGTTGAAAACAGCATTTGATTAAAATTATATGACCCTAGAACAGGGGTCAGCAACCTACAGCTCATGGGCTGGATGTGGCCTACCACCCAAAGTCATCCAGCCTGCAGTCCCAAAAAGAAATATGTCCACCCAGACTGTGAGAGAGGAGGAGAGAGTGGCCATCTGTTCAGCTGCTCTTGTGAGCACTCGCCATCTCCTTGGGTGGGAAGCCATTTTGGTGATGACTTCACCAGCCGCCCTTGGTGCAGGCAGAGCTGTAAATCCTCTGCCTGGCACTGGTGAGAGTGAGTTGTGAGGTGAAGGAGGAGGAAATGGCGGCAGCAGCAAGGCCTCTGGCCCCTAAGCAAGAGAAGGTTGCCACCCCTGTCCTACAATAACCTCTCAATGTATTGAACTAATGGGGGGAAGACACATATATCCATTAGATATGAATGGGACTTTATGCATGTATGAAATAACCTTATGCATAAATGATGATGGGATTTAACATATCCATAAAATGATGGAAGGGATTTTGTCCAACCAGTAAACCAAAGGTTAATTGTACTTCGGCAGAAGCTACTTTGTTCATACATTTCACTATTATTGTTGATAGACTCTCATTACTATTCCTACAACCTTCATTCCTCACCTGTATACACACTTCCTGAATCTCTTCTATTCCTTTCTCTCCCAATTTTGTCTCAAATATGTCCCAGCTGCAGTAAATTAATCCCAGTGTTTGGTTATGCAGTGGATTATTCACATTTTTTTCACAATTCAGAATGTTGATTTTTCAGTGTCTTTGGCAATATAAGATAAGTCATGAACATTTGCTTTAGAAAATGAAGAACAGCTGATGAAGAGAAAATCTGACAGAACAGTGGTTAATGGAAAACACAGAAAAGAGCAAAAACTTGGTACACAGTTAATTTCAGAGAGCAAGAATGTAGTGTTCAGTTTGGCCATGTGCCAGTAGGGCTCATCACAACTGTGAAATTGAAACATGTTCTATATTAAGAGTAAAACAGCATTCTCCAACCTGCCAGATGTATCAGACTGTAACTTCCATAATATCTAACAACAGGACCAATTGAGTATTATGGAGCTGAAGTCCCAATACAACTGAAGGATGCAAGGCAAATCTTGGCATATAGTATTAGGAAAAAAATATTTAATGCACATAAACATTCACTTATATTCATATCTAAATGTAAAGATGAGTATGTGCATCACCAACTCAGCCCTAGTGGTCCATAGTAAGAAATAGTAAGAAATCCCATAATTAGTTCTTGTTGCCAACTCTATAATCCATAAACTATAAAAACTGGTTTGTTAGTTTGTTAGAGGGTTGGTTACTGAGAACAAGCTAAACTTTCTATGTTCTTTGAATAAAATAGTGTAAAATATTACAAATTCATAGTTGGGGAGTTGTGACAAGTTAATGTATTTGTTGTGGGCATTTACTTTGAAAGGAATGCAATCAAGCAAACTGAATTAACATTAGAAAACAAAAATTCTGAAGCTGTAGAAAAAATCTATTTCATCCACACTAAGGGCTGTAATAGGAACCCTTCTCTAATCCTCATTTAATTCAGGAGCAACCACATACACCTCACAATTAGGCCATTTAGCAAGGGCTAGCAAATCTACTCACCTGTCAAGAGCTGGAGTAAGGTGGTAATTCTTGGTTACTGACAAGATGGCTTTGATTAGATTATCTGTAGAGAAAGAAAGAATACTTTAGAAAGTAAACCCATTTCAAAGATTTTCCATAATAAATAAGAAGGGTGGGTAAAGACTTCAGGATCAAGGTGAATGCTGAATGAATTTGCATCCTTAGCAAGAAATTAGAAAAAGGATAGCCAATACAAAATACTTTGTGGAGTATCGCACCACATTTTTTTCAGACATGCACCAGCTGGAAATACTTGAATAATAAACTATCCCTCTCTTTTTGAAGAACTGTGAGCTGAAACAAAATAGAAAAGGAGATAAATTTATGTCTGTTTTAACTAGGAGGGCAGTACAAATAAAGTTATTTGTATTATAATCATGAGTGGCCATTAATTATAATAAGGGCAAAAACTGCAACCACACTGTATTCAGTGTCACTATAGATGCATTATTATTAATCCCACAGTTATATTTAGCCCCCAGTGTATTGGTGTGGCTTGTCTCTACTGAGCCAAGGAGCAAGCAACAACATATACCTGGAGATGTGTTGATACCCAGCTCTATGCCACAGTTAGGCATCTCTGGAGAGATTCAAAGGCTTTTTAAACCACAGAATTCTAGATGATGCATGTCATCTCAATCAATGATAAGCAGGATTTATCCAGGCTGCACGACAGGGAAGAACAGATGCTATGCCTTCTCCTCAATCAAGATACCCAACACATAAGGCAAGCCAAGTTATTACTGGTATATGAGTGGAAAATTCCAGAAATACTTTTCCCTTTTTTGCCAGTAAAAATACAGAAATCATACATTGAATAGTCAGTAATTTGTTGTCCTTTCTTGAACCCAAATTCAGCTGTCTAACGGTAAAGCCAGTTCAGTTAAGAACAATCATATATTGGTTCTCTGTGATATTATTTTTCATTTTATGTCTCAAAATAATCTTAATAGAAAATTAAGGCTCTTTAACAGAAGAGTATGTTTAGAGTCATATTTGGAGGACACGTCGTTCTACAACAGTTAAGTTAGAGCCCATCTTTCATAAAATATAGTCTTAAATATTCAGTATTTAAAGGCATATTGAATAGCCCAAAGTGAAATTCCAGTACAGACAGAGACACACTTAAAGGTCTACATCAGGCTGGGCATGAAGCTCATTTGCAAATAACATGTTTTGCATGTCTAATGACCCAGATCCAATCCTTAGGGCCTCAAGAACCAGAACTTGAAAAATACCTCTGCCTGAGACTGGGGAAATATTACTGGTCTAACATAAATAGAAAGCACGGTTGGTGCCAAATAAGATAGTATCGCATATTCATACCTACTTCATATGCCGTCATTACAAATACCATGCTAATTTTCACTCACTAATAGCTCTAATTAAGGAGCAAAATGAAGGTGTGAAGTTTCTTAGCAAGTGAAAGAATGCAAAGGGACTGTTTTTCCTAAGTAGGACGATGAAAGGTAGAGGAAGATACCTCTTTTTCTGGATACTGAAACTTCCTGGATACTGAAACTTCCAAAAATTCAAGAGTGGAATTATATTTAGAAAGGTCTATACAAATACATGTGACCTAACTGCTTTGGGTGTGTGTATGAAAGAGAGAGTCAAGGAGTGAAAGTAAAGAAAGAGAGAAGGAAAAATAAGGCAAGAAAGAAGTAGCAAGCTCTACTCTTGTCCATATTTAGTTTTGCCTCACTTTAACAATGATTACAAATATATCCATTCCTAGCATCCAGCCCCAAATGATTTCCTCAGAGCAAATAAAGCCCTCTCCATAAACACTGCTTCTTATTTGTGACACAGAGATTTTCAATAGCTATATCATCCACTTGAACTTTCTCAGATTTTGCAATTCCAGCTTTTATAATTTATGAATTAGGGATGATGGGGACATCTTGGCAACAAGAATGTTATAAATAGCTGTGGTATATTTAAGAATACTCATAGTGGTATTCAGGAAGTAGGTAAATAATATAAAGGCAATAATGGAGCATATTTATGTCTCAGTTGACCCCAGCTTGTACAGATGCTACTTAGTTTGAATCTTTCCCAAGTATGTGATGACTCACAGGACCTTAGTTCAGCCTTCAGCCTATGAAGACCATGAAATTCTGTAACAGATGCAGCTGCAGATATCAAAAAGGATCCTGGCAAAACTGTTTGATCATCCTGCTACAGTCATCTAAGCCAATCACTCCTGAGACAGCACAAAGATTCTTTCAGAGCCCCACACTTCCGTTCTTTAATATACTGCTCTCACTCTGGTTTTATATGAAGATTGGATAAACACCTACTAGGCTTAATGATTCAGCACTCACTTCTAGGGATCAACAATATGGTGTTCCAAGTTTGGTCTGCAGGCAGAATGAGTCAGCTCCCCCTAAGTTTATACAGCATGTCTTTTATACAAAACGTTCCACAACAATATACAATAAGAATAGCAAATTTCAGTCTTTTAACTTCCAACAAGCTCCATTTGAAGAATTATCTTAGCTTAGTATGGTAAATAAACACACTTTTTATCCGCAATGGATTCATTCATTCAGAGAGAGAAAACATATTCCTTACATGGAAGGCTTCAGGAACAAGCCCTATGAGGTACTAGGAAAATTAATCACATTTGTACCAGGAAAAAGCAAGGAAAACTATTCAGCCCACACTTGACCTCAATATTATTCTTAGAGTTTTTATGTGCTTCTACATTAGATTTGAAATGTTTATTTTATTACATTTCTATACTGCTGCATCTTCCAGGGTCCCCCATTAGTATACAAGACGACAACAAACAATAAAACATCCATGTTCATGATAATAAATTAAGCTACTTTAAATTACCAAAACATAATAATAAATAATAATCACAGAGCTGAACAGAGCTATCATTCAACCAAACTAATAATAAACAAACAACAATAATAAATAATAAACTTATGGCAGACAAATTAACTACCAAATACCTTATGGAAGAGTTCTGTTTTCACTACCTTCTACAATGTAATTAAAGAAGACGTGAGTCTGACTTCTGAGGGGAGGCCATTCCATGGGATCAGGCACCAAAAAGGAGTGCCTTCTGTTTTTGCCACTTGTCATTTCATGAAAAAGGTTTAAATGTGATGCTTGATATGCCAATATTATGAGCTACAGTATAAAAAAGGAATAAAGTCGAGTTTGACTCCTTGTGACTTGATGATCATGTCTACATAGTTTTCAGGGCAGCACTAATGCCTGCCAACTTTGTTTGACTTCCCAGTCTAGCCCACAGCCTAGGAATTCCCGGTAAGGCACCCATATGAGTACTAACCAAGTTTAGTCTTGGGTTTTGGAGTTTAGCCAAAGTCAGCTTGGTACTACCTCACAGTTGGATGTGTACTGAAGCAAAGTAGCAATATAAGATTGGGGATTCTTAAGTTCTCAACAACAAGAAGAAAAAGAGTACTTGATAGAGATGGAAGGCAAACAAAGAACTTTAATTCCACCCAACAATCCATTATTTGTACATTCAGCTAATGTAAAGAACAAATATCAGGCTTTTCTTATCAAAACAACTTCCATTATTTCCTGGGTTTTGCACTTAGGACTTATTTCCTAAAACCTCACTAGGTTTCTGCTTGAACTAGACTTCTTAATTAAAAGCTAGGTACTGATGCTGGGCTTTAATAAAATCTTCTAGGATTTATTCAGTATTTTGTAGCCTCACTGGTTTTCCAGAACAGGAAATGTATGAGTTCAGTTCTGGTAGCATAATTTATTCTGTATAAAAATAGTGTGAAGATGGAACAGAGTCATCCAATATCATCTTGCTTCTTTTCATTCAGTTCTGCTATAGTTCCTTCTGGAACCAAACCAGTACAGAAACTAAAGCATAATATAGTGAATAAAATATAAACAGTCTTTAAATATATTTATTATATTTATCAACTCCTTTAAAGCACATAGTAAGACGAAGAGTAAGGCCCAACTCAAAATGAGGTCACATTTAAGGACCTAATAGCACAATTATGAGAGAACATTTGAGGAGATCAGATACAAGGGTACAAGAGCAGTGACCACTGCTCACTCTAAAACTGGTTGAACCTTTATAACCATTCCACTTAAATGTGTGTTGTGTCCACTACCTGCCTAAGACTCTGGGGCAGTGGAATGTCCGCTACTGGGAGGTGGTAGATACTCCACTAGGGTCAGAAAAGGTTTTGTGCTTCCTATGTGTTTCCCCTCCAGAAGCATAAATTTCTGGACCTGAGAGTAAAGAAAGTGAGGAGATAGTTGAGATGAGCTACTGTGGCTCTAGTGATAATGATGGATCTAAAATACCATTTTAATCATGAAATAAGTTCATAAATCTAAACCTTTAGAGGGACTTCAGTCCTTTCTAGAACAGAATGAAACTATTTATCCAAACAGGATAATCATGCACAATCCATATCTGTCTAGATTAAGTCTTAGTTTTTTTGCCCTGCTTCCATCAATTACTCTGCCCAAGCTCAGGTTCTAAATGCAATTAATGTTCAACCTTTTAGAATCTTTGCCAGGGGCTTGCAAGCTGTTTCTAGAAACTTGGGCATTCAGAAAATATCAAAAGGATTTCAAAGGAAATAGTGAAAATCCATCTGTGAATATTTATGGATAATTATGACTTCATCCAAAAAATTTATAGGCTTTTTATAATTAAAAGAAGCGTAGTTCTTGGATAAATGAATTGCATTTTCCTTCCTCTCCTTGAGTGACATTTTTAGAACACTCTCTTTTCTCTAGGGAAGTTCCAATCAGTATTCATGAGATTTCTATCCCAGAGAGTATAAAAAAAGTCTTTGAATACTATTTTAGAATATTGAAGACACAATAAAACTGATCTTTAATACATCATAGGTTATTGGGCCACTTGACTCAGCCAAAGAGCTCTCACTATATGATGTCGATGCAAATGCTCCACAGAATGATCTAAACTGCACAATTCTTCCTTGAAAAGTAGGGAGAGGTGAAACTATATCGCAAAGAAAATGAGAGATCATCAAAGATCATATTAGCTATATCTGTGTACAGGCTGTGAATGCAGCAAAAGCTATTAGTATGTGAACACTGAAAACAAATAATAATGCAAGCATCATTTCCATGCCCATAGCAGATGTATTTATTTTTGTATATATCAATTTATATGACCGCTCATCTCAGCAATGTGACTGTGGGTAGCAAACAAGAATAAAGATACAATATAAATACATGTATATTAAAATAAAAAATAAAAAACACTGTTCTGACCAATTAACACAAAGTGGTTCCCAAGCACACCATTCACCAATAATGGTGGGCTCGGTTACTCTTCTGGCCCCCATGTCTGTGAAAACAGCTAGATGCTCTTTGGCATTCTGGAAACAGAGCCAGAAAAGGCTGGGGAAAATAATTTTAAAAGCCAAAAGGAGTACAAATTTGTCGGAAGCATCACAGTGACTTGTAAGGGTGGAAGGGTAAATAAGGATATTCTTCTCAAACAGAATAGAAAGTTGGAACTTAATGAGCAGAAACAAATGTTTACATGTTATGGAGAAGCTTTCTACACTTACACTTCAGAAACAGAGAAAGACCTTGCTTTCTGTGTGGTCATTGCTTGCTTTATTCTCTAATATTTACCCCTTTCCCAGAAGATCACAAATTTCAAGGTCAGCCTAAAGTCAAGATCTAAATATAAAAATCCATAGAAAACAAGCAGTGAAAAATTGCCCCTGATTTTCCCAGTTTTCTGGAACACGCAAGGCTAAATATATCCCCGTAAGAAGATACTTAGGATGTAATATAACACGACACACACACTTTTTGTTGGCCTATAGGCCAATCTTCCTACATCTGGAGACTTGAGGTTCCTACTCCTGCAATTGCTACTGGAACATTTCTGGAGGATACCAGTTTGGAGAAGGGTGCTTATTAATATTTCCACCATAGCATAGGCAAAATCACACAACTCCCTCAGAGATCACTTTTTTCTATACATGTCTTGAGGAGAAAATACCTTTATCCCTACGATGTCATAATTATCAAAAGAAAGTCAATGGCTAACACTTGAAGACTCTTCCTAGGTACTAATTAGGATTCAGGTTTGAAATTATTAAAGTCAAATGCTGTCCATAACTTTGACTATAAACCATGGCTATTTAGAGCAATAGGCTTTATAGCCTGACATCTCTGGAGTCTTCCATGGTTGGAAAGATTGGTGAAAATAAAAATTTTCACTTTTTATCCTCAGTCTAACAGATGACAGCTGAGTGTTGCTTAAAACAGAAATTGACAGTAATTTACCACTCTACTTGCAGTTAAAATGAGCAGGCTAAAACCCAAACTTAACAAAAGATGTTAAATTTCACTACAAGTAGAGAACGTTGTTCTCATGCTATGAATTGTTCTCTGTGTGTGCGTGCGCGCGCACGTGCAACATGTATTCATATTGGCATTGCTTATCATAACATTGGTACAAGAGTTGTGGATGCAAAACATTGCTTCCTGCACAAGCATGATACGGTGTCAGTTGTATATTAACACCAGGGAATCCGATATCTGCAAAATTGAGTGTCCAGTATTAAGGAAGTTTCCTGATCGGTGAGAACTTTGTTCAAGTTGATTTATTTTTCAAGTAAATATTTCTTACCTATGGATAATTGTAACAAAATGTAACAGTTAACGTTTAGCCTCATAACTCACATTATTATGTCTATGGATTTTGAGATATGAGTTTTGATTTTGAGTTTTCCTATGGCCAAATGGCTACTGTGATGTACTGATGTGAACAATATGCAGATGTCTGAAAAGTGGAAGGAACTGCCTTTGGGCAGAAGGAGGGTTAGAACAAATGTTGGTATCTGATTATTCTTTTCATTATCAGGCAAATAAAGATGTACCCTAAACCCACTGCAAATGGCAAGAAATCCATTCTTGAAAGAAAGGGACTGATGAATCCCATTGTCTTCTTGTAGCATGGTTATCATAACATATAGGCTAAACAAAATGTTCTCAGTGAATGGAGGAGGTTGGGAAGGGAGTGGAAATGGCCAAGAGCTTTTCCTTCAAGAACTCCAGCTCCTGCAGGCACAGATCTAGGCAAGAAGCCAAAAAGAGAGAGGGGGGGAGGGAGGGAGAGCGGGAGAGAGATGTAAAGACAAATAGTTTGGTTCAATGCAAATCTGAATGTTATATGCATCTGTATTTTATCAGCAGAGATAAAGTATTCTTTATGTCAGTGTACCAGATGTAAAAAGAGGCTGCTATGCAACTAAATAAATGTTTAGGAAAAGGAAGGGCACAGACAGTGTTTAGTAATAGTTAAGCATGTACATTCCAGTATGTCTTGGCGGTCAATATTTCCAATTGTATAAGTGCAATATCTCACCCTACAATATAGTAAATTGTTTTAGATTTAAGGTTTAAGGTATTTTATGGACCTTAAAACACACATTTATTATGTCATAAGATACTATGGATTACAATAATCTCAGACATGAGATACACATGCGCATGTTGGGGTAGAAGAGAATAAACAAGCACACAGGTTCATCTACAACAAGTAAATAAGCAGTCCCATCTGCAAAAGTTATGAGGAATTTATCTACTTAGTTCAGCTTAATATTCCTGGGAAGTTGAAAAAACAGCCTGGAAGAAGCCTATGGCGGGCCCCTTCTTGCTGAGAAAACTGTATGGATGTAACTATGCATTCACCAGAAACTGACCTCAACTCGAGGACATAATCCCAGAAAATTTACACAAGTAAAGAATTCCAGTATGATATTTTTCATATGCAAGCTTAATAAATTTAATGGTAATGTCTAATTAGTAAATATCTCCATCATCTGGAGCAATATGGAGAATTTGGAGCAATGAAGTACACTTTATTGCTCCAAATGATGCACCACAGAGGACATCATCTCTAGAGAAGACATAGTGAATCCACTTTAGAAAATAAGATGCATGGGAAAACAAAAACCAGGAAAACAATTTAGAAGAAAACAATAAAAGCAAATGATCACTAAATATCCAGAGGTTGGGAAACAACAGGCCAAGCATGTAGAGAAATCTCTGTCCTCTGAGGGTTTGGCATCCAGGCCGCAAATACTACAGTTGATGCTCTTCCCATGCCATTTTGGAGCACAAGGATTAGGAAAAAAAATAAGTTTACAAATGAAAATTATCTTTATATGTGTATGTATTTAAGACTTAGGGCTGAACTGTATATAATATTAAACTTTAGAAATGTACTAGGGGTTATTTATTTGCTTTTGATGTCCCAAAATAGATGATGAAATTATGTGGCCTCTTTTTTCCTGGCACCAACCTCCCCATTCAAGCAAACAGTTGATGACATAAATGCTGAAAGTCCTGAACATCTGCACAAAGCATTTCCCAAGGTATATACTACATTGTGAATCTCCCTTGACAACAGCCAGATTTTTCATGTCAGATCAGACCCAGTTTCTGATGTTCAACTGACACATCATTCTCTAGGAAGTTGCTCAATCTTCTAGGTGCTCTGATTCTGGCAGCCATCAGCACCTTTCTCTTGCTGTCCTGTTTCAACCAGCATCAGACTAGTCCTGACTGAAAGCCTTAATGAGGTTTTGATCCCATCAACAAGTCACAATAATTCATCTCCAATGCCTCTCCTGGGATAAGCAGAAAAGGCTGATGCAAGAATTTCGAGTGATGTGTGCTATAAGAGTGTGATGCGAGAAGGGTGCCATTTGCTTCTCTCATGCACTGGTCTGTCAGCACTGTCATTAACCATACCAGTTTACTGAGAACAATAATTCTTTCCTCCCACATGTATAAACTGCTTTAAACTGAATCCTGGCACAAAGTTTGGTCCCAAGAGGGCACTAAACAAGCCATTCAGTTATTTTGCTCCCACTGCTTCAGCTCCCAGCCACTTAAGTAACAGCAGTTTCTGCTTTTAACTGAAGAAAAGCCAACATAAAATCCTAGATTAACATAGCACTATAGTGGTGACACAAACTGGCAGCAGCTTGGAAATACAAAACAAAGACTACCCAAAGACATTCAGTCATCCTGTACTACAGTTCTCCATGCTGATTCTTCTTGGCTAAAACACTCAGCTTGTGAAAACTAAATAACCCATATAGGGACCTACAGTCTACACTGTCTCCACACATTCAAAGCCTGCAGAAAAAGTGATGTTGTAAACCTACTATCAGTGAGTAATCATGTTTCCATCTGTACTTTCAACTGCTTCCACAATTAATATTTCTAAAAAAAAAAAGAAAAAGCATAGTGACTATTTGTCACCTTTACTAGGAAGGATGCATCTCCAATAAAAAGGCAAGCATCATGTTCAAAAGGTAAGATACCTACATATCTTGGCCTCCTTCATAGTTATAGAATGTGGACTAATTATATACAAGGATTATGGGAGTAGCAAGTTCATGCCTCAGAGAGTCTCCTTTCAATACAACAACTAAATACTATATAAATAATAAAATACTTTGCCTCTTGTGGAACTATTACTGTATATTTAGTTACATTCTACCCTGCTCCTATTTGTGGTATGAAGACAGATAGGCTTGTTGCATTTACCAACCAGGCACTATCTTAAAGACATGACGTTTAACAAGGCAGACTTCGTGGAGAACGATTCCAACATTTTTATGGAATACTAAAACAGAGAACACTATCATGTTCATATACTTTGTGTTGAATAATCTTCTGTCTTCAAGTACATTCTGTAAATGACAACTTTTATGGGATGCAGATTTGTTTCCAATTATGCCATTGTCAACATCCTTCTTATTCACCTTTCTTAAGTGGCCACAGAAGGTTCAAATATAAAGTAGTGCTATGTTTAGGAGAGTTTTGTACCACTTTACCCAAAAGCAAGGCCAGAAAGGAATTTAAAATACACCCAAAAAGGAGCATTCAAATTCTCTAGTATACAGGTCCGTAAGCTCTAAAGATAATATACAGAACACAATCATAGTGGATTAATACGTTATCCTACCTTGTCCTTTAATCCCAAAAGGTGGAAGAAAATCCCGGATCCTTGCCCATTTCCTGAAGGAATCATCCAAAAACATTGGTGCTGGCTTGGAGAATCTACAAATATAATGAAACAGAATACTTTAAAAAAAAGAAAAAGAAAGGAAAACAAGGAATTTCAAGGAAGAGATAGACTTTTACAATCTAAGTGCAATATCAAATAAAACATTCAGAACAAAAGGAACTTACGGCTCTACTTATTTCAATATTATCCTGCAAATGAGTGCAAAAAAGCATTTTCAATATTCTTTACAGTAAGTAGGCAATTCAAAGTCTACGACAGTAGTACTCACCTAATCAAAACCAATACAGAGGCAGAGGATGGGTTCACACATTATATTACACCATAAGTTACTTTAACTGCAATTTGTTGAACATGCCATAGTGATCTGGTTTACACATAATGCACGCAATTGTTCTAAGCTAAAACAAAATTCTATAATGGCTTATCATGATATTTGGAATTAGCCAGAAATTAAAAGTGTGTAAGAAAGTCTACTGCTTAGAATACAAAGCGTTCTTACATATTAAGTGTACTTATAAGTTTGAATACATACAAAAGAGTGAAATACGTAATAGGTACCCAGCTGTATCAGGACAAATTGCAAGGTAACTCCCATCCCTATCATGCTTCCAAATCAATAAGTCTGAGAAGTCCCTGCTTCAACTTTTACCTCTACTATGAATTCCCTGTGTAGCCATAAACAAGCTACTTCCACTCAACCTCCCATCTGTAGGAATGCTATTCAGGATTCTAGTTAGGTTTATAACAAGATAACGAATCACATACTTTCAACAGGGAGAAATACTATAAACATGGAAAATATTAGTATTTTAAATCTCTGACAACACTAGCCATTTCTAGTGTTTACTGAATTTAAAAGAAGAAATCAACAGTTACTATTAGAGCAGCACAACACCACAAAAAGCCTATAAGAAAACATACTTTCTCCTTTTTATATAAATAAAAATGCGTCAGACTAATTGAAACATTTTTGAACAAACATCAGGGCATGTGTTCCAATAGACGGATGTTCAATCATACAGTGCAATATACAACAACTGTTCCATCGACCAAGTATTCTAATTTCAGAATTGAGGTGAAGTAGGATTCTAGTGGACTGTTCTCATCATTTTAGTTAAGAGGACACTACAGGCACTTCTGCGCTGTGTGGCCTTAATGCTTGCTTGCTGAGATCCAACAGCCAATACGTAACCAGGGAAATCCCAGCCAATCGGTGCTCAATGATTGGCCAGGGAATGAGTATATCACCCTGCCCCTCCCCCCAGTTTCTCTTCCTGCCCACAAAAACTAAATGAAGAAATTTGAAAATGTCTTACTTGCCACCAGACTAGTATTCCTCTTGGCATGGAAAACCTGTATTTTGGTCCCTTTACTTAGACCTCCTGCCCTGTGATTAGACCAGGAATTCAACATGTAAACTTCTGGAGCAAAGCACAGCCCATGCAATAACACTACTTACTACTGCAGGTAGAACTTCCTAGTTCAGAAAAAAACCTTTGAGATGACAGAAACAAGATGATGTGACAAAGCACAATGCCAAGGACACATCAATGGCACTGAATGATTGCTAGGAAGCTCCATTTCCAGTGATGTTCAGAAATGTCTTGTTTTCTGCAGTGTTAAAAACAAGTAGTCCTCAGTTTAAGAATGAGTTCTGTTCCCAAAACCTGTCCTTAAGTCGAATTTGTACGTAAGCTAGAACAGTACTATACAATACTCCAATAATTATACAATAATTATGCAATAAACAGTATTATACAATACTACAATAATATAAGTAGTATTGTGTAATTAACTCGAATCATTGTGTATTTAACTCAAATTTTGCTACAATAGGCTCCATTCTTAACTATGGGTTGTCCTTAAACTGGGTGTTCTTAACCCGAGGACTACCTGTAATCCATTTCAAATGAATATGTAATGCTGAACCATTAATAGAACAGGAGGATCACTAACTGTGTGCAAAGTTCAGATTGTTGGAAATCCCAGGGATCCTTCTGGAAAAGTTAGATCAGATTTGAATGATGTAGATGACAACAGCACTAATGATGGTGATATATCTACTTTGGCTCATATCTGTTAATATTTAAAATAGCACCTTAAAGATTAATACATCCTTTCTGGTTGACAGGAAAAAAATAATGATCAAGATGCCTGCAAGACAAAAAGGATTTCTTTCACTGCTTTTCTCCAGAACAGCTGTTCTCATCCTTTCACATCTTAAATCCCACCAATCATATCAAAGAACCTGGATAGAAAGATATATTCTGCCAGAATGTGCCTCTCCCCCGCTCTTTTTTTTAGAACAACAGGCATATATTTACAGCAGCCCCTCCAATAGCCACATTTTTCTACTGCAGTATTTATTTATATTAATCAAATATATATGGCTGCCTATCTATGCAACAAAACTCTGAGCAGTGAACATAAATGATAAAACTTCAATAATTGTAAAACGCACACCCACACACAAAATCCATTAGAAATTTGTAATAATGTTATTGACAATATACGGTATAACTAAAGTAATACATAAGACCTCACTGGGGCTAAAGCAGTGTTTATCACTATGAGAACAAACTTCCCTTAGTCCAAAACAAGAAATAGACCACCAGTGGTATGTGTATCTACTGCTGAAAACACAATCTAGACCAGTGTTTCTTAAACTTTTTTCTCTCAGGACCCCTTTTCACTTTTAAAAATTATGGAGGACCCCAAAAGAGCTTTTGTTTATTTGAGTTATATTTATCAATATTTACCATATTAAAAATTAAAATTGATGCGCTCTCTGCCACTACAGCTTCTCACAATTGTTTGATGTGATTTTAATATTGTATCATTTTTCAATATAGGCTGGCATATAATTTTGATTCCACGGACCCCTGAGAGGGTCTTGGGTGACCCCCAGGGTCTTTGGACCGCACTTTGAGAAACACTGATCTCGAGGATCACGGAAAGAATAGAGGAAAAAATGCATTTCTTTTATTCCTTAAGTAATATACAGACACAGGAAATATGTTCCCTTTGTTTAAATTAATCAGCAACAGATCAAACAGTGGGAAAATAGGGAAATTTGCACATAGCTTTTTAAAAAGAAATCAGTAACACTTATTTATATCTGAACTGTTCCCTAAACAAACAGTTTTATTTAAAATGTTAAACTGAGTTATAAAAAAGGAGACACAGAAGGGAATAGATAAAAATACAGTGCGTGAGACTGGCAAACATATGTATAGAACCAGTCTGAACCTTTAATATAGTCTCCAAAATCCAACAACAAAATGAACCCACCTGTTTTAAGCTCAAACCATATTCAGGCTTAGATTGATTTTTACCAAAGCAATTACAAGAGTAAGAGATTTACCAGTAAAATGGCTGGTGACAAATAGATGAAGCATGATGAGCAGTCATTGACAGCACACTCATTTGTACCTCAGGAGGTATTATGTGGAACGCAGAAAGAAAAATATTAATTTTGAGAAAGGTTAATGTTATGTTATGCTTTCCAAGGGGAAAAGAAAGACCCTTAATTTTTTGTTAAATATATTTATTCAATCGAGATATCTTTCATTTCATTAAAAAGCTTTTTTGAGTCAGCTTTAGTTAAACAACAACCTCATTATTATTGTTACTAATACATTTTTGACTGAGAGCCAGGTGAGTTGCTTTTCTTTATTTCTATATTCTTCTCTAATTCCATTTCCTTTTCTATGCTGGCTATTCCCCAAGGATAATGTTGTAGGTTGCCTTAATTCTAAAACAGCCAACATCTGAAAGCAACTTGTATAGCAACTATAGCATCAGCCACACAACCAAGAGAAGATTGACTATTGTAGATAGGCCTTTAATAGCCCTAATTGCCTACTAGTCTCTCAAAGTGGAAAGCTATTTACTGTCTTGAATAGAAGACTGGATTTTTTCTTTTGTAATATAAGTTTGTGGCATGACATCAGTGATGATATCTGAGCAAACCAACATTTAGCCAAACAATGAGAATAATTCATGCTCTTTATTCCTCTGATTATTAAGAAGGAAAAAATGTTCCACAGATGCTTGGCTTGAAGGATCCAAAAGCTTATTGAATGTTTAGAATGAAAAGAAATTCAGTACAGTGCTTTTTCTTTTTGTTACAGAAATGAGTCTCAATTTGCAGAGGGTCTTTCTTTGTAGATGGATCTAGAAAGCTGCTAAGAAGCAGCACTTTAAAGATATTTATGAGAAGAAAAAGCAGTTATTTGGTCTGATCAGATCCAAATAACATACTGTATATTTATCATGTGAGTGAGTGAGTGAGTAGCACTGGATAATGTCAGCTGGGTTAATTCCAAAGCTTGTTTTTCAGAGATTTATGGTTGCAAAGGAGAAATATCCTTTGGACCTCAGTTTGACCCAAAAGCTATTTCTGTTTAGACTTTAATGTGGGAGTCAGTTCTCTCTGCCAAGTGCCAGAGTAATTGAGTGTTTAACCACATCTTTGCCCTGGATTTATCCAGGACAAGGGAGAAGCACACCTCTTAACTGTTTAACTTGCAGCCACAAACTAGCTAAATATCATTACATACATCCATGCACATCCATCATGTTATTTCCTTCAGGGGTAAGCAATGTTATGCAAAACACAGAAAAGGAGTAAGAAACAGTAAACCAAAGAAATTAAGGCCCGAAGAAAGAAAAGAAAAGATAGCTAAAATGTATCGTAGATTTAGCTATCTTTTCTTTTCTTTTTTCAGGCCTTAATTCACTATATGTCTTCATAATTCACTATATCTCTTCATAATTTTCTATCTATCCTTATTTCTACCATATCCATACATTGCATTTTACTCTTTAAACTTCTCATTCTCTCTTTTTGATATCATCATCTTTATCCAACCATGACTTTCTTGATCCTCCCCTTCCCTTCAGCCCATTCACATTTCCTTTGTATATTTGTCTTGTAATTCTCTTTATATGAATGAATAATAAATAAGCATACTTCATTTTCACTCACCGCCCACTGCTGTATTCAATGCACATTGATGTCAACACCCAT